AAAAAGACACTTCCTATACCAACAGCCATGCTCCGCGTCCCGCGTCCCTCCGCCGCCGCACCGACAAAATGGGCGCCCCGCGCCTCCGCCCGCCCCCGCGCCTCCGCCCCCGCCCGCCCAGGGACCGCGCCGGGCAGCACCGGGCCGCCCTGCCCCGACCGACCGACCGACCGACCGACCGACCGACCGCCCCCTGCACGGCGCGGCGCCACGGCGGGGGGCGGCGAGCGGGACGGCCGCGGGGCTCCGTTCGGTTCCGTTCGGTTCCGTTCGGTTCCCTGAGCTCTCCTCAGCTTCTCGTCCCCATCAGAGTCGCCCAGTTCTCCCCAGTGCCCCCAGTCCTCAGTCTACAGCCTCACAGTTCTCCTCAGCCCCCCTCAGCGCCCCACAGGCCATGTCGGTGCCCCCCAGTCCTCAGCCCCTCACCCCCTCGGTGCCCCCCAGTCACCCCCAGCACACCCCAGATCTCCTCAGCCCCCCTCCGTGCCCCCCAGGCTCTCCCTCACCACCCCCGGTTCTCCCCAGCAACCCCCAATTCTCCTCCATCTCCAGCCTCTATCAGTGCCCCCTAGTTCTCCTCATTGTCCCCCAGTTCTGCTCAGCCCCAGGTCCTCCTCAGTGCCCCCCAGATCCCCCAGCAGCCCTAAATTCCTTTCCCCCTCAGTGCCCCTCAGTTTTCCTCATTGCCCCCCGGTTCTCAGCCCCTCACCCCTCTCAGTGCCCCCCAGTTTTCCCCAGTGCCCCCCAGTTTCCCTCAGTGCCCCCCCAAGTTCTCCTCAGTCTCCAGTCTCTCCCAATGTCCCCCAGCTCTCCTCAGCTCCTCGTCCCTCTCAGTGCCCTCCAAGTCCCCCTAACAGCCCCTAATTCCCCTCAGCCCCCCTCAGTGCCCCCAATTCTCTCCACCACCCAACAGTTCCCCCTCAGTGCTCCCAGTTCTCTTCAGTGCCCACCAATCCTCCTCAGTCTCCAGCCTCTTCCAGTGCCCCCCAGTTCTCCTCAGCACCCCCAGTTCCTCTCAGACCCCCTCAGTGCCCCCCAGTTCTCCTCATTGCCCCCCAGTTCTCAGCCCCTCCCCCCTCTTGGTGCTCCACCTCTACTGGTGCTCCAGTTCTCTCCAGCACCCCCCAATCCCCCTCAGTGCCCCCCATTCTCCCCATACATCCCCCCTCAGGGTCCTGCCACCACATTTTCCCCAGGGGCCCCTCATCCCCAGGGGCCCCCAGCCCCTCTCTGGTGCAGTGACTGGGTTGGAAGGGTCCCCCCCAGGGATGGGGCACCCCCAGCTGTCCGGGCAGTGGTCCACCATCTCCTCCTGCTGCAGACCAACGTTGGGGTGCAGCACTGCTAGCCGTGCATCTTGCTTCCTGCGAACTCCACGGGGCAGCCTGGCTTTCCCACAAGTTTCCAGCAACGGTGCCGTTGAAAAACAAAAGCAAAAACCCCAACCCTGAGCTCTGCATGTTTTCCCAGCCCCCCCAAAAGGACCCACGGTGGATGGAGAGGAGCAGGGCACTTCGCTCACCCCCCCGGCGCATTGGAGGGCGGTTGCGATGTCTCCCCTCAGCCTGCTCTTCTCCAGACTAAACAAACCCGGCCTTCCAGCCCTCCTGCATGGCTGCAGTGCTCTCAGCTCCCAGTCTCACTCCTCAGAGTCGTGCATGAGGGGATGGAAGAAAAGTGGGCGATGGGCTCGGAGTGGTGGGGCGGACATCTTTGTGCACATGGGTTGGGTGTTCCTGACCCGATTGTGCACGTCTGGGTGCCCTCCACATGAAGCACGCTGAGCCCTTCTCCTCACTCTAGGGGCGGGAGGAGTTGAATCATAGAATCATAGAATGGTCTGGGTTGAAAAGGACCACAGTGATCATCTGGTTTCAACTCCCCTGCCACAGGCAAGGTTGCCAACCACCAGACCAAGCCGCCCAGATCCACATCCAGCCTGGCCTTGATGAGTTGGCCGTGCAGCATCCCCCAGCAGTGGTGGAGGGTTCATTCCCACCTGGGCTGGGAGATGGGCGCATTTAGGACCCTCCCTACCCTCCCTGATTCCACTGGTGTCTCTTTGTCCCCTGCCACCCCCTGGTTCCAAGTTCCCCTCCGTCTGCATGTGAGATACATTTCCACCATTGCTTTCACTTCTGTCTGCACGTCTGGGGGTTTTGGGCTGCACCCCCAGGAAGGCTCCAGGTGGCTGGAGGACACCCCCAGACCTGCAGGCAGGGGATGCAGCCATCAGGGCAGGCTGGCCAGCGGAAGTCTCTTGGTGATGCTGCATTTTGCAGAGGCTGCAGGGGCTCTTCCAGCCCTGTGCTGGGTGGATTCAAGCATCCCCACCTCGCTGGGTGCAGGCAGGGACCCTCATCCTCAGCCTACAGGAGCAGGGGGGGCTCCGGCGTGCCCACCTCCCCATCCCCGAGCTGCAAAATGGCACCGCAGAGAGGAAGCGGAGCTGGCTGCAAAGCTCACATTCAAAAGGAGGTGTTCAAAGGCTCTTCTGCCCCCGGGGCAGATCCAACCGCAATTAAAAGGGAAGGAAGGCTGGGGAGCGCTCAGCGCGGCACGGAGATGCCGCCTTTGACATAAATCACCTCTGCGGGCTCTTGGGCGGGCGGCAGCGCTGCTCCACCTGCTCTCCCCGCGCCCGCAGAGCCGTGCCCGCCGGCAATGGGAACGGCAGCGGCTTTCCCGAGGTGGGAGAGGCGGCAGGGATGCAGCAGCGAGCTGGGCTGAAGGGGCAGGAGATGCTCGAGAGGTGCCACTCGCTGCCCCCAGGGCACGGCCCGTGTGTGCGCAGAGCTGAGCTGCAGCGTTCCTGCAATCCATTGCGTGGAGCTGGGGGTGGGAAGGAGATGCTGGTCAAAAAGTGTGGGATTAGGGGTAGGGTAGGGTTAGGAGTAGGTTAGGGTTAGGTTAGGGTTAGGGTTACGGTAAGGTTAGGGTTAGGGGTAGGGGTTGGGTTAGGGTTAGGGTAGGACTGCTTAGGATTAAGGTTATTCCTAGGGAACAGACTGGAAAGTTGGCTGGGAAAGCTGCATGGCCAGGAAACTGCATGGGAAAACCTGACTGGGAGCTCAGCCCCCAGTACCCGAGCTGTCAGCACACTGTGCTGGGGGCTGCATTGAGACCTTCGGTGCCGGACAGCCCTTCTGATGGGGCTTTTTTGTCCTCGCCTGCAGCAGCAGCAGGCACCAAGCAGGAAATCCTCTGGGAAATGCCTCTCTCCATCCTAACCTCATATTTGTTTCCTTTTCTTTGCAAGAAATCTCTCTCTCTCAATCAAGCGGGGCTGGAGAGTTAGCGCTGGGCCGAGTTCAGCAGCACAGCCATCAACCCATGCAGATGGTTCCTGCCCCATAGAGCATTCCCTGCAACACCCCACAAGTGCTCACACAAGAGGCAGATGATTACAGCAGGCGGTGGTGAGGGCTGGAACAAGTCGGTGCAGAGCTTCCCAAGGTGTTTCCCAGGCAGTGGGACGCACAGCAGCTCACTGGCAATGACTCACAGGCAGCCATGTGAGCACAAGGGTGGGCGCTGCTGGGGGTGGGCGCGTGGAAATGCTCCATCCTGGCTCACTGGGATGCTGCGCCGGGTGAGCAGAGCTGCAGTGTGGGTTCTTCACTCTGGAAATGGGTGAAGCTCTCGGCCCCAGTAGCACTGAGAGCGGTGCGTGCGCAGGGTGCCTGCGGCTGCTGGCTGGGAGCTTGCAGAGATTTAGGGGTGATTGGGTGAAAGAAAGCGGCCATGCATTTGTTACCTTTCTCCCCCTGTAAATGGGAGGGACATTTGGTTATAATTAGGTAATGAGTTAATTAGGATTAATTAGTTAATGTTTGCAAAGCACTTAGGAGATGAAAAGCGGCAGCACAGAGTGGCTTTGTGCATCCTGGAGGGCTGTGGGACCCCGCTCTGTGCAGGGGCACGTTCGTGTTAACCCTGGGTGCAAAATCCCTGAAATCCCAATCCACAAAGAGGA